GAAGAACCGTGTGGAAATTCGGTAACGAAAGACTCTGGCCTAAGTGACTCGACTGCTTTGTGGCCAGCTCCTTTGTCCGGGGAATTTGCATAGAACCATGGACAAGGTTTCTCCTCAAGGAATCTGGCCTTGAGAAGCATTCCTACCTGCTCAATGGATTGTGCAATCGAAACTGGAGCAATTAACCTGACTGCTAATTGAGTCCGCCGAAGCGAAGGTTAATATTACGCCATCAGTTTGGTTTGCTGGAAATCTGCCTTGGGCTATTGTGTTTTATATGATTTCCATAGAAAGGATTCTGCTTTTATGATTCTTAAAGTGCTGTAAAGGAAACACGGATATAAAAACCTAATAATAAAAAATATATAATATCTGAATTAAATACTAAAACGATGCCAAGGAAAAAATTAAATATGTTTAATTCGTAATGTTCTTTAATTCAAAGGCTTTTGTGAAAAATCTTTTTTTGGTGGAGCCCCAACAACTGATGGATTTATATTGCCTAGTGGTTTCCCCAGATATCGATAGATAGACAGACTTTGACACGTTTCAGGTCACTGCATTTTCAGCTGCAAAATATCACTCAAAAAATATTCCATTTCGCCTGTCAATCATGCAGCGCTTTGATTGCCATGCAATATAGCAAAAATTTCTGCGTATGCAACAAATTTGCGCACAATTCGCATTTCGCTTTTGATTGATAACGGCACGCAGACCGAAAAAAAGATACATAGATAGATACATGCCCGGCATGCAAATATTGCCACCACCCCCAAAAGAAATCTGCAAAATTGAATCATTTCACAGTGACAGCAAAATATGAAATCAGAAATGGAATTACAAAAACTGGCAATACACCAACCATCATCCACCTGCAGTCGGAACGGAAACGCGGGCAAATTGAATTGTGTCACCCTCCGAGAAAATCACCCAGCCCTCCCCCTTTCTCCCCCTTCTCCACTCCAGACCCTTGGCCACCCCCTTGGGCATCGTCTGTCAGTGGGTTCTTGAGGTGAAAATGTAATTATTTATTAGCAGAAAAAACGAATATGTATAACCCATGCACACTGGAAAAATGTGGCCAATAAATACGTAATAAAAGTGGATTCCTAGGAGAACTGACTAACAGTTTAAGGCTTAAAAGATTTTACTTAGTAAACCTTACTAAACTTACTATTGGGTAACTTTGAATCTAAAAAATTATTTATTTATTTTACTAACATGGAGATATCACGTGATTAAGATTAAAAAGACTGTTTCATATGTCAAACCTTTTTTATTTAAAAATTCTAAAAGGGTTAATCAAATTTATTCCTAAAATGTGTATTAACAGTTATGTAAGAACTTCCCTGTTTATCGAAAAAAAACATAACTGTTCTTCAATCTTCCAACAATTTTGTGACATTTTAGAAATTGGTTAACGACTTTGTGATGTTTTCTTTGAAGCAGGCTAAAAGCCTTGTTAATTTTTAATCACCATAATGTCGAATCAAACCCGTATGCATAAAACAACTGTTGCGGGAAGACAATTTGGCATTTGTTTTCTGTGCAGCCACCGGCACTCCGTTCCGTTCCGTTCCTTTCCGTTCCGTGTGGAAAACCGGAGCGAATCCGTCCGTGTTCATGACGCCAATCAAAACATGACGCACGGCCCACAGAGGGCGCCACCGTGCCCCAACGCACGTAACGATTTGGTCGCTCTGTGGGAAGCCAAAAGGGAGAAGGGAAAAAGGGGGGAAGGGGAGGAGGAAGTGGGTGGTGAAAAGAGGGGGTGGGCCAACGGGGCGGATGGGTGATAGCTGACACGGGCACGTATGTAGAATTAGTTTACGAATTGCTGCAGGATACGTGGCCCAACATTTTTCAGCAAACATTTCCCCCCACATCCCCGCATCCACACACACACAAAAAAGGGCCTGCACGAATCGAAGGACCCGGAGTTGGGTAAAACGTAGACCCCAAAATGGCACAGTGGGGAACTTGTCAAATAAAGAACTTATCGAAGTTATTTTGGAATTTCCGTATTCAAAGCCATCCGGGGTGGGCCGAATCCAAGGAGATGGCGATATGAATCTTGGCCAGGTTTGATTTCTCAGATGCCCTCCTTGGGGGAAGTCCATATGGGGGAGTGTTTTTGACGGCCAATATTTATCAAGATTTAAGAAGAGGGATAAAATACTGACCATTAAATAAGGGGGTTGGGTTCTTTAGCAAGTAAAATTTCCATTGTTCGATCAAACTTAATTTGTCATATAAACTTATTTTGCAGGAATTTAAATTTAAAGATTAGTTTCTATTTTAAAAATATTTATGATATGTATGTTAAGGTGATTATTTCGATATTTAACATTTTTGTATATAAAGACTTTAAATATCAATTATTTTAACAGATAAGAGAAGATGTGCGAGATAAAATCGAAAATATTTCCACTGTGGCAAGACCGAAAAATAGACAAGTGTGCAAAAATGGGAAGACAGCAACATCATAGTTGCTTGGCAGTCGGGGGAATTGGCTGGGATTTCGGTGGCAGGGCTTTAAATGGGGGGCTTTGGACGGGAAATTAAGGTGGCATTACGGGAGGGGAAAAGCGAAGCGCCTCGAGAAGTGAGCAATTTGGAGCGCTTGTAACGCGGCGTCTGCCGACAAGCAAGGCAACCTGAGGCACACAAATTTTGGCAGCTCTATTAAGCGATGCCGCTCCGGATCCGTATCCGGAAAATCCCCCCTCTCCCCCTTTTCCCTCCCCTTTCAGGTATCCAAAAACGCCAAAAACCCTTGCCCACCTTTAGCTGAAAACTTTTTTTGTTTGCCTCTCTCACAGTTCGTTGATTTTTCTGCGGGGAAGGTGGCAAGGAAAAGGGGTAAAGGAACTTTTCCAAGAAAACTTGGTCATGTGTATGTGTGTGGATTTTGAAATGAATATGCATGGGCATGGAGGGGCGTGGCTGGTTGGAGGGGGCGGGAAAAACTCTTAGCAAAAGTAAATTTAAAAGTTTTTATGCGCTACTGTCGGCGTGTCCGCCTTGGAGATATGTATACATATATATATGAGTGGAGTGCACACTTTTAGACAAGTTTTCTAGTTCTTTCCCGTTTCAAAAAGTCCCCCACGAAACCCCTTTTTCGATGCCGTAAAATGTGCGATAATTCACATAAGCATTCTTATCATGTGTGTGTGTGTGTGCGTGTCGAGGCGAGTGGGCGTGGAAAATGATTGCAGTGTGTGTATGTGTGTGTGTGTGTGTTAAGTGCGTGTGTATGCGTACTTCCTGCGGAAAGAAATCACCTACCGAGCATTTAGGCAAGCGAAGTTTTCCCGGCTCACGTTCCACTCGAAAGCCATTACACCGCCCCCATGCGAAAATATTAGTACTCCCAAGTGTTGCAACTATTTCACAAAATCAAAATCTATAATAGGAAAAGGAAATATTTTAAATATCATTGCAACATTTGATTTGCAAACCTAAAAATTGAGTGTGAACTTTTGTTTATTCTTATTTGGGGTTGTATGAAATTATTTGAAACTTATTTCTTTTTGTTGGATTTATTTATATATTTCTTAAGAACTGCTTAGAGAACTTAAAAATTGGATTCCCTTGGGAATAATTAAACAGGGAATGCCTAAGAGGTCCATATATGTAGCTTATCGAAAATATTCCCACGGCACTACTTAATACCCTTTTTTATTTGTCTCAATAATATTTAAAGCTCTGAATGACTCAAGCTTTTTAAAAAGTTGAAATATGTAGAAGTTGAAGTTACAGATAAGGATACATATTTTGATAACGATGATTTACACAAACCAATCCGATTTTCTTTGTAAAAAATTCCAAATAGTTTTTATACAAGGACACCTATTCAAATCCGTTTGAGCTAACAAATCGAGGCACATTTTTTCCTTGGCAAGGATATCACACTGCTGGATTCCGACACCTGGATTATTACTAACATTTTCGCACGTACGCATCCGAAAACCATTTAAATAACGCTCCATCATCTAACCCACCCACGGCTGTGTGGAAACTTTTACACGGCAGCACTGTTGCTTCGGGCTGCTGCGCTTTATGGACTCCTGGATGGGTTTTCCCCCGGCTTTTCCATACCATTTTCCTCACCACTACTTGCCTAACCCATAGCTGGCGTTGATAAATGCACGGAGCATAAAAGTTTGAACAAACTACTTGAGTTTTTAGGCAAATTTTCGCCTCGAACTAGAACGTAAAACGTAGCCAACTACTTTCCACTTTACCTGGCGGCGTGCCACGCCCCCCTTCAGCCGCAACGCCCCGCCACGCCACGCCCTCTTACAAATCGCTGGGCCCATTAGAGGCTTGGCAAAAACGCCGCTAAATGCGACGTGAATTATTTAAGGCACGTGTGTTGTGCAGAATGCGGCAAATTCGACAGTGAAATGCATTTATTATTGAAGATATTGTCGGAGTCTGCGGGCGGAAAAAAAGGGGAGGGGATTGGAGGGGGTGGGAGCGGTATCCTTTTGGCCAATTATGTGGGTGGTCGAAGGGGGGGAGGAGTTACATTTTGATAAACGTTTTACAGTTTGAGAACTTTTCTTTTCTGGCCTGGCACGTGATTGGAATTACGCGTGTTCCGCCCTTGGCCCTCAGCCAAAAAAATTTACACAAATCCACAAAATGTTGGATGGATGGAGCTGAAGCAGAGTTTTATTGGATGAGTCGGTTTGGGCCAGCAAGCGTGTGTGCCAGTGTGTGAGTGTGTGTGTGGAACATGTTTGCCATTTTGGCAATCGACAAATGTTGCACACACTGTGAGAATTAGCATAATTTAGTTTTCGCGCTCGGGGCGTTCTCGAATCTCCAATCTGTCTCATCGCATCACGATTATCGGAATTGATTGAGTGCAAAGCACTTCAGGTGGAATAAACCTTTTTCCTTTCAGACGCCTCAATTGAATTGGTAACATATACCCGTTAATCCAAACAGAAACGCATCAATTACAGAGGCGATTCGAAAACTCCGAATTTAATTTTTGTTTATGTATATTTTTAATGCTTTACAAATCGGTAATTATTTATCTCTAAGTGATGTATTCAATTGCAGAGTAGTAGAAAATGGAATTACAAAAAGGATTTAGAATAGATGTGGGTATGCGGTGTAGATAATGGTTTTACATCTGGCGATTATTTTAAGGACGTTTAGGTCCCTCTTCCGTTTGATTGCACCTGAGAAAAAACTTTAAGGATCGGAAAAAACCATTAACATTAAATTGAAATACAACTTGTAAATTAAGTTTCTTTCTATGCAACAAATTGGCAAATATTTTTTAAAAGCGATTTAGAAGAAAATTAAATTTGGAGCACCATTGCGAGCAAAAATCCCAACGATTTTAATTTTTTCTATATTAAAAACAAATAAAATGGTAATCAAAAATTTTGTTGTGGTGAAATACCTTTAGGGTAAAGCGAAAAAGTTTATCTGTTTGCCTTAAATATTTTTCTCAGGTGCACCTAGGACTTTTCCCTCCCTAATTTTTCAGTCTTCAGTTGGCAGCTGGCTCGCCTGCGCCATGAACGTGCAGGATCATCTCAAAAGGATCCCACTCGAGATCGGATTCGTGCTTGACCCGCCGCCGGATGGCCTGTGGGTGGTGTGGGTGTTGTATTGCCAGCGGGGGATGGTGTCCTTCGTGATGGTGCTGCACCAAGCCGATGGGCATGTCCTGGGCGTGCTCCACCAGTCCTGCGGTGGGCGGTGTCGGACGGTAGTGGTGCAAATGCTGCGACGGGTGGTGCTGCGGCTGCTGGTGGTGCTGTTGTTCGCTGACGATCTCCTGGATCTGCTCCCTGGTCTGCTCCCGCTCATCGACCTTCTTCAGCAGGATGTCGCGCATGAAGGTCATCCGATCGAAGTGCTCCCACGTGGAGCGGAAACCCTGGTGGGAGTACTGGGCGTGGCGCTCCTTTTGCAACTCGTCCACGTACCGCTGCTTGATGATCGACCAGCGAGTCTGCATTAGAGCTGGAAAAAATCAAGAATTTTTCGGAGAATTGTGAAAAGTTTTTCAATTTAATTTTCGTTTAAAAAATCTTCAATCTCATTACCATAACGTAATGAAATTTTAAATTGATCTAGTAAGCAAAAAATAATTATAGTTATCTTGTCTTTAAGAATTTGTTGTTCTTATTTGAGACACAGGTCCACTTACTTGGGGTGAGTCCCATTTCGATGGCCGCCTCCTTCCAAACGGCGGACGTTCGACTCTGGCCCTGTCCCTTTTCGCTCCGTTGGCGTCCCGCCCAAAGGGATGGGCGAGTTTTGATGGCATCGATTATACGTCCGCGCATGCTATTGTGCAACGAACTTGGGCGGCCCAACTTCCTAGGGGGCGTGGCCACAGCCTCGGAGACCACAGCAGCTGGCGGAGGTACCAAACCCGTAAAGGCGGTATAGGTCATTCCATGGTTTTGCCCCTGAGGCGGTTGAGGAATAAGATGTGGCAGCGGAGGGTCGGTGGGAGTGGCAGGAGACTGTAGCCAGCTGAAACTGCCGCTGGGCCGCCCGCGTCCATGGGAGGCGCTGGGCAATGGAGGTGGCGGCGCTGGAGCAGCTGGTTCCTCCCCAACTGGAGGCGGTTGAGGCGTAGAGGGGCCAAGATCTGAGCTGGAGCCACCACCGCTCGAATGAGAGCCCACGATCTTGGCTACCGTTATGTTATACATGAAGGACATTGGCTCAAAGTGCTCCCACTTGGTGTTGAAGCGATCCTTGTGAAGGATCTGGCGGTGGACCAAATTGTGGTAGTGGTACTTCATCTGGCTCCATATTGATTGCAGTTTAACTAATAATACATAATATATATTATGAGGAAAATTATAAATGAAAGTTAAGAACTTTTAATAATATTATTATTATTATAATATTATTGCATCATAATCCAACAAAAAGAATTTTCCTTTATTACCATGATATTGACTTTCAAAGTAAGCTCAAATAAACAGTCCATTTGCACTGCGATGCTCTTTTATGCCAAGTCTTGCCTTCTCGTTCATGAATATTACAACATCTAGTGGCGTGGCAAAGATAATTAAGCCTATTTTGAGCCACCCAATTGCATTTATCAAAGTACATTACACCCCTCAATTATTTCCATTGCGAGTGCTTCAATTTGCATTATATAGTGGCGTAAGCTCTTCTATTATTCCAAACGGGCGGAGACTTACAATTTCTTTACGACATGCCCTTTGGCTATTTCAGACTAAGCACTGTGACGTATGTACTTAGAAACAAAGGCTTAGCATTAGTAGAACCAAGTTCTTTAGGTATTAGGTATAAATTAGGTATTTTAAATACCAGCAAACTAACTGGTAACAGCAAGTAGATTAAGTATAAAATTAGTTTTGGTTCTAATTTATTTTTAAGCACATAGTTTTTAACAATGATTATGGATTATTTACAGGATTTGATTTTTTTTTTGGGGATAAGTAATATTAGTCCCCCCAGAAAAAATCACCACTTCGCCACTGGGTGTACACTAAAAGAGAACGCGAAAGGAGAGCGCGAAAGGCAGCAACAATTTCGCACCGGTTGCGAGTGGGAGAATGGCACAGTGGCGCCGAGTGTGAGGGGGTCTAAATAAGAGTGGACCATGGGGATTGGCATCCTTGTTGCGCTCACCTGTCGGCACATGACCACCGAACTGCTCGGCGATCTCAGTCCACATTGGCGATGTTACGCTGCGGCACATGTGCAGCTTGTTATTGGAGTCCCAGATCTCCGGGTATTTTTTGATCGCCTTTAAAAGCTGAGCGCGGTTCACGAATGGATCCTCCTTCGGCATGGTCACACTCAGACCTGGGCACACTGGCGCACTGGATGATACCGGGAGCGATTGCAACGAGAACAACGCCGGCGGAGCACAACTGCGTCCTTTGACATCAATTATCGGCGAATAACTGAAAGTAGAGTTTGCAAAAATATGCGAATTGAAAATGAAAAGGCACAGCGATTGGGGAAAATAGAGAAAACGATGACGGCGACGACGACGGCGACGCCAGCTTTTCGCTGTTGTTGTTGCCCCGATGCCGAAGAGATTGGAAAGGCAGCGAAAGCGTACACGAGATGAGATACACAAAATGCAGGCGAGAAGAGAGAACAGGGAGAATGTGCAAAAAGAAAAAAGAATGAAGACAACAACAAAAAAGAGGCAACAGCAGCGACGTCAGTTTTACATACAAAAGTCTCCGCGTGTAGGTGTATGAGTGACTGAGTGTGTAAGATGGCAGGGCGAAAAAAAGCAAAACAGACAAAAGCAACAAGACCAAAGAGGAGACAGACAAAAAGCAACAACACATCAGCAGCAGCGAAGCTCAGAGCTGCAAAAACCGAAAAACAACAGAGAAGAAAAGCACAGAAAGAAGAAGAAGAAAAAGGAGGAGGAAAAAAAGCAGCGGGCTGGCAGCCCAAAAGAAAGGCAACGATAAACAAGCTATCTCTCTTTCGTTGGGGGTCTCTTTTACCCCCTCTCACTTCTACTCGTAGGAGAAGGTGGCTTCGAGCCATCGCAAACGAGTGAGGGGGTGAAAGGGGGAGCATTAGAAGCAGCGAACAGCGAAACAAAAGAGCAGCGAAGAGTGCAGAGCAAAATGCAGGTCCGCAAAACGGAGAGCAGAGAAATCCACGATGACCGAAGTGGAGAGGTGCTGATGGGGCCGAGGGGTTAGTTGCGAGGAAAGAGAGCGAGAGAGGGAGGCAGGAGACCCGGAGTCCGAAGCCCGGCTGTCTAAACCGGAGACCCAGCAACAACTACAACAACTGCAACTACCAGGGCAAACAACAACTGCAGCCCGAACACGCAACAAAGTGACGAAGTAACCGACGAACAGTGGGAGCCAGTGGAGGTGGCACAGTGGACCCCAAAATGGATGGGGCCAGTAATGCACTTTCGGCAGTAATGTCAGGTCTGGCTTGGATTTGAGCTACTCCGTGGACTAGCTATTAAAGCAAAACGGAGTTGGTTGTCAATAAAGTAAAATAATATACAAAATCCTATTACTATCAAAAAAGAAATATATAATAATCAGGGGATATAAATTTTTCCCCTAATTTGTATTTCATGGTAACAGCAATTCACGACAATAACATTTTTAAGAAAATATTGCTATGCGACCAGTTTATAACAGTCGGCGCCATAAGGTAGGCAATAGTTTTTTCGGTACGTAAATTGTTACGTATACGAAAGTACGTATACGCCTCGTAAAGACACAAAAAAAAAGATAAATGAATTTTAAGAATCGGATCATTGAATAATTGTAAAATTTAAATGTATTACTTCAGTTTTGTTTAACAATAATTTAAAAACAGTTTTAAATAACTTCTAAAAGTATGCCGTGATATAGAAAAAAGTTTTTTTTTTCAAATATTTTTTCGCCAAGTTTAGCCATTTTTGTGCAAAAAGCGTCATCACTGTTGGGTGGGACATTCGGTCGTTTGGTCGTTTAGTCGGTTCGTCGTTGGCCGTTTTGGGCGCCGTGCGTGTGTTTGTGCTAGTGTACGTGCAATGAACCCGCAACTACAACTGCACACAATTGCAGCACGCACACTCGCACACCCGCCCACACACGCACACAGAGTGCACTCGTGTTGGTAGCGTTTCGTAGGCGCAGCGTTCATTTACTCAGTGCCCCAGACCCCGTTGCCGAGCACCAACCTCCCCCACCGTTCACTGCCCACAGCCCACCACCCCTCCTGCTTTGCCACGCCACTTACCTTCTCACGACCCCTCCCCTTTAGATATCTACACTCAGCTAGAGAGAACGAGACTGCAAAACAAACAAGATTCGGCATAAATCAGAGGTGGTCAACTATTTACATAGTGGGGTGTTTGTGTACGGGAGCGGATTTGTGTAACTTAAAATAAACCAAAGAGCGCCCATTACAGCGATTTCGAAATTAACAAACAAAACTAAGAGAGTCGGAATTGAAAGTTGGCGAAGATTTGTATTGCCAAAGAGTCAGTTCCTCACCGCTTACGTTAATCAGATCAAATGATAGGTATAGAAACTTCAGTACTCAAAATTAACAAACACAAAAAAGAAATTTTTATCGTCGAGAAAAAATAACGATTGTTTAGCTTTGATATTAAATTCAGAATTCTGCTTTAGGAAAAGTTTAATGTTTGTACATACACTATTAATTTTACCAAAAGATTTCGTTTGCAATCAAAATATGATACTAAACTAAAACTGAGGAGCTTAAATTCCCTTTATTAATGGGGTGCACATTAATATCAATTTAAGTACCAAATGTTTATACGCAACTCGTTTTAAGACACCAATTAGATAGCTTCGTTATCATACCCCCAACACAGCGATTATTTCGGGGTCATAAAAAATTGAAATGGCTCGGAACGCATACACATAGTGGATTTATCCAAATAAGGAGGCTATCAAATGACATCGGAGATGAAAGTCATTCAAGAATCAATTCGATTAGTGCCAATTGCCCAGTATATGATGTGACTGTACGAAATGGGCCCTATTTGCCAGCATAATTTAGCAGTGAATTGGGGTCGGATTGGGGATGAGCTACTTATCCGTGCCCCCGCTTAATTATTCAACGACAATGGCAATTGTCAATGGCGACTCTATCAATCCGAAATGGCCACTCCACCGTGCCACATCCCCGTGCATCTGTAATGCGGCTGTTAATGTTTTTAATGCCCCCCATTTTATGGGCTACTGTTGCGAGATATCTTTCTGGGTCGGTATCCGTAAATATCTCTGTGAGATGCGTAACTATGAGCTTCCCCCCAGCGAGCCGCATAATGAACGCACACGCACTTTCTTATCGGCCAGAAAAAAAACGGGAGAGGGTCGGCGTCTTTAATTTTTATGGCAGCATAAATGGTCCACCGTAATTTGCTAGATTAGAATTAATTTGAGTCGCAGTTGGGCAGTCAGGGAAGAAGAAGTGCTTTCGGGTACAGTGAAGCCACCTATTGTTTAATTTGCGAAAAAGATTTGTAAATATAAACTTCGAAAACTAATACAATTTTAAGATTTTTTAAAAAACAAATAACCCTTGAAAATAAAATGTGTATTACGTATACGCATAGTTGTGTTGTTAAAAAATTTTTGTTTTCCTGCCTAAAAATTTTAAAATATATCAAAAAGAATACGAATAATAAAAAAACCCATATGTATCATCGAATAAACTTATTTACAGTTATATTTTTTATTTCTACCAAAAAAATTTCTTAAGTACTGAACTTCAGAAATAACAGAAGAACTTCAATTACTTAATTATATAACCGGTGCACTATAATTTTCTTGGTGCTTTTATATGTTTGTGGGACTTCACAACTTTGTAGGCTCCACTGTGTCCATAATTCTGGGTTCTGCCAATGCCCGTGGACAAACTTCGACAGTAAAAAGTAATGTATCTGGGGATGGATTCGGCTCGGGTCGGTCGCACATCAACTGCAGGCAGATAGAGAGGCTGCTAGGTCCCAGGTTCCAGATTGGGGTCCAGACCCAGTCACAGGCTCCACATCAATTGTCGTTCTGCGGATCGGCAGGGACCATGGAGCTATCTGCTGTCTGCTGCCTTTGTTGGGTTTTTATTTTCATTTATGCTTTTTAAGTGCTTCATTAAAATCGCGTACGGCAACGGGGACTGTGAGGCGGGGAGACCTTTGTCAGCGTCATCATCGTGGCACACACAGGCAACAACAAAAAGTATCTTTCGGATACATGTCCAAAAAGCAATGAAAGAAAGCAACATGGTACGAAAAAAGACCAGAGACGACGGTGAAAATAAATAAAAAGAATTAAATCCAAACATGTTTTTACTCAGTTCGCTTCGTGGCTCTGGCTGTGCCTTAAACAAAAAAAAAATCAGTGGAAAAAATCAAAGCAAATCCAACTTTAACTGAGAAAAATATTCTGGGTGTTTGATTTACAATTGTTTATAAAATTTATTGGTGTATCAAGGATTCTGATTCGAATGCAAAACAAAGATGGTATTATGGTATCTTGTGTGGGTTCTAATAAATTTATAAAATAAAATTTTACTTGTAGTTTTTAAGTATAATATGAAATTAGTTTTGTTTTTCTGATTTATTGGTTGTTCACTTTTAGGTACGGTGCTTTATAATGCTATTTTTTCCGTGTACAGCTTGAGCTCATGCTAAAACTCCAACTCGAATCGCAGCTCCAACTCCGGTTTCAAGCCTATGCCCCCTGCATCTGTATCTGTAGCTCTGGGTGACTGTGTATGTTGTATCTTCGACTGCGTGGCAATAAGTGTGCCCCGTTCCTGAGGCAATGCAAAAAAAAAATCAAAACAAAAAAACAGAAAACAGCATTAAGCATCTTGTTGTTGTTTTTTAAGGTGCGCATATAAAGAGGCCTTAACAGCCAACCATCCGACCAGTCTTCGGACCGTTTCCCCATCCTCGGTGAATCACAGTGGATTAAATAGCTGCAGTCCGCTGTCAAAAATGTACAAGCAACGGATTAGGCCTATGTGATATGTGGGTGATAGCATTAAATCCCGTATAACAGAAGGTAAAGAAAATACGGGACAGAAGTTGAAGTTCTAAAAAGGCTTAACAATTTTTTCTAGATCATGAAAGTAATCGGATTAACGTTATTTATTTATATTCGTTAATTTCATGCTGAAGTTCAATAACCTAAAAATAGCTGAGAGTATAAATATCTTCGATCATCAATAATTAACTTTAAAATTTCATTTATTCCTAAATAAATTTCATTAAACATTTTATTTTTCTTTTCATATGAATATTAAAACTATTATGTTAAAACCGCATCTGGGGATTCTGAAGTCAAGCCAATCAAAGAGAAACTCGAATAATTGAATGCCATGGGATGTGAACTTAGGGGTAGCCTCTTAGTGAATTATTTATAAGCGCGAAACCCTGAAATCAGCCCACAGTGCAATGGCACCGATTGCCAACGTCAGAGATAACAACAGCAACTCCAACAGCGACAGCAGCGAAACAGCAGAGGATCGCATTTAAGGCGCAGCATCGAAGAAGCGAATCCATCCGCACTGTGGTACGCAGGGTGAAGAGGAACGAAGGGGGGAGGAGAGGTTTGGAGAGGAGAGGAACGGTGAGGAGAGGAGAGGAACAGAGAGGTGAGTGGAAGAGTGAAGAGAAGGGGGGAGCAGTGGAGTGAGTTC